CAACTAGAAATTAGGAAAACCAATACGTAAGAAAGAAGGAAACAAAGAGAAAAAGGAAAACTTAAATAAAAGCACAAAACCCAAACGTAAAAGGAATATAAGCTGCATCAGGTCACCCGGGGTTGGAAAGATTCGACCTCGAATCAGCAATGTCATCCTGTGAAACAAATGGAACTAGGTGCTTAACGTTGAAGACGTCTGAATACCGAGCAATTGGGGGAAGCTTCAGGCGATACGCGTTAGCGTTAATCTTCTCCACCACTTCTAATGGACCAATCTTTCGTGCCTTCAGCTTGTTATACTCACGTGCAGAGAAACGATCTTTAGTTAGCACCGCCCATACTTGATCTCCGACTTGAAAATGCACATCCCGGCGATGACGATCTGCGTCAGCTTTGTACTTTGCAGATGACGCCTGAAGATTCTCATGAATTTGGCCGTGAATAAACGATAGATCAGCCACAAAGTCTATCGCTTCACCATGATCTTGCGTCGCATCCGGTACAACCCCAAGATCAAGAGGACCACGAGGCACAATGCCATAAATGACGCGGAAAGGAGTGAACGTAGTACTCCGATTAACGGCATGATTGTGTGCGAATTCTGCCTTGCACAAAATAGTATCCCATGTTCGAATATTTTTGCCCACCAAGCAACGCAACATGTTACCCAATGACCGATTTGTAACCTTTGTTTGTCCATCCGACTGAGGATGATAAGCAGAGCTCATGTCAAGGCTGGTACGCAGTAGTTTCCAAAGTGATCTGAGGAAACGAGAATCGCGATCAGACACGATGGAGAGAGGAAGACCATGAAGGCGATAAATCTCCCGGAAAAACAAATGAGCCACCTGTAAGGCATCTGTCGTCTTTTTACAGGGAATAAAGTGGACCATTTTAGAGAACTGATCAACCACCACAAAGATGGAGTCATGGCCACGCTGAGTACGAGGCAAACCTAAGACAAAATCCATACTGATATCTGTCCACGGCTGAGTTGGAATCGGCAGGGGCATATAAAGACCCGAGTTAGTGGCGTGACCTTTTGAAAGCTGACAAACAACACACCTCTCGACGAAACGAGCGACATCCCGATGCAAGGATGGCCAAAAATAAGAGGCGGCCACCGGCTCAAGCGTACGGTCTCTCCCGACATGTCCCTCTCCATGTAACTCAATGATAATTTGCAGACGCAAACTACAGGAAGGCACACAAAGACGGTAATTACGAAAGATGTAACCATCTTGCAAGACGAAATCCGACGGGGTACCCTGCTGCAAGTCGGACCAGATGCGCCCAAAGAAAGGATCTTCTGCATATAAGTCAGCAAGCACAGCAAAACCAGGAACAAAGACTTGTAAAGATGCCAGCAAAGAGCAACGACGGCTTAATGCGTCAGCGACTTTGTTCGTACGACCAGATTGGTGCTTTATCACAAAGGTGAACTGTTGTAAGAAAGCAATCCAATTAAGCGGCATGACATGCAGATATTTTATCCTGACTTCCCAAGTGTTTGAGGGCATCATGATCGGTATAAAGGATAAATTCCTGGTGATAAAGGTAAAGACGCCAACGCTTAATAGCTTGAACAATGGCATAGAATTCAACGTCATATGTGCTGTAACGAGCTCGTGACCTGGCGATTTTTTCGCTGTAAAATGCAACTGGACGACCTTGTTGACTTAAAACAGTTCCAATACCAAACTTACAAGCGTCAGAGTGAAGTTCAAAGACAACAGAAAAATCAGGTAATGCCAAGATCTGTGCCGAAAGAAGCTTCTGCTTGATAGTTTCAAATGCTGTATTAGCCTCAGTCGACAAAAGTTGAACCCCGCATGCAATAAGTGAGAGGAGCCGTGATATTGCTAAAGTGGTGCACAAATCGACGATAAAAGGAGGCCAAACCATGAAAAATGCGTACTTCACTGATTGACCGAGGAGTAGGCCACGACTTGATGGCTATAATTTTGCTAGGGTCCACCTCCAAACCTTTATCGGATACAAGATATCCCAAAAAAAGAACCTGAGCCGAGCCAAACACACATTTGTGACGACATGCAAAAAGCTGCTCACGTCGAAGAAAGCCAAGGACGTCGCGCAGATGTTGTAAATGGCTGTCTAAATCGCTGCTGAAAATCAAGATATCATCAAAATAGACAACCACAAACCTGCCAATAAAAGGTCGTAACGCCTGATTCATCACCCGCATAAACGTACTAGGCGCGTTGAAGAGACCAAAAGGCATTACTGTCCATTCAAACAGACCTTCTCTAGTCTTGAATGCCGTTTTTCACTCGTCTCCTGGACGAATACGTATTTGGTGATACCCACTCTTCAAGTCTAGTTTGGTAAAGATGGAGGCGCGTCCAATTTGATCGAGAAGATCGTCAAGCCGAGGAATTGGAAAACGATAGCGAACTGTGATCTTGTTAATAGCATGACTATCCACACACATACGCCAATTCCCATCTTTTTTGGAATAAGCAAAGCCGGGACAGCTGTAGGACTGAGACTCTCTCGCACATGACCTTTGGCAAGTAACTCTTCCACCTGACGACGTAACTCATCATGCTCTTGCGGACTCATACGATCGGAGTCGTACTGGTGTCATTCTGGTTTTGAGACAAGAAACGATTGCGTGCACCTGTAGAAGCCCAAGCAGAACGGAGCTGAATCTCCATGGCAATAGCACGTTGATGAGCTTCAGAAACAGAGGTTGGATTGAATTGTTGCAGAGCATTCTGTAATTGTGAACGAAGACCACCAATAAAACGTGACACAAGTTGCTCCTCAGTTTCCATTAGTGTAATTCGAGAAACCATGGAGAAAAAATCCGTTGCGTAATCGTCGACGCTGCGAATTCCCTGACCCAAATTCTGCAACTTATTGTAAAGAGTACGCTCGTAATTGTAGGGAAGGAACGAACGACGCATATGTTTCTTAAGCCGTTCCCAAGAGTCGATACGTGATTTGTCGGAATGACACCTAGATTCCTTCAATTGCTGCCACCATGCCATAGCTCTCTGTTTGAAACGCGTAGCCACCAAGGGAACTCGCATCTCATCAGGGACGTTTTTAAAGTCCAAAATCTCCTCCACCAAATTTAACCAATCAAGGAATTCCTCAGGGTTTAGCGAACCTGTAAATTCGGGAATATCCAGTTTGAAGCCGGATTCCCAACGTTTGGACGTGCGCCATCAAAACGATCGCCATCGCAACGGATTAAGTCACGGTGGTCGTCGCCACGCTCGTCTCTGTGTCGCTCACCTGCGTCACGAGGATTGTTAATACGCGTGAGATCAGCAAAAAGATTTTCAGCTAGACCTTCGTCATCATCGTTGTGTACACGGTCTGGTGGGTGCAGGTTCTGTTCCTGACGCGGTAGACCTTGCTGAGCGTGAAGGACTCTGTTCATTGCTGCTTCCACAGCATTAAGAAGGGCATCATGAAGACCAGCAGTAAACGCCTCCAAGGTACGCTGCAGCTTTTCGTGTTGTTCTTCAAGAGTAGGTTTTCTATGAGCCATTGATACGAAAGTTTGGATCGTGCTTCAATTAAGAAATTAAAGCTCCTGGATTCTGATCGTGCTTCAATTAAAAAATTAAAGCTCCTGGATTCTGATACCAACTGATAAAGGTAACAATAGGGTGTGGTTCGATTGTTTAGTCTGAAAATGCCCAAACAAATCACTTGATCTTGAAATCGTTGAGAATTAGGGTTCTAGCCGAAGACAAAAGTTAAGAAAGCAAAGCTTCTTGATTTAATAAAAATAATAAATTGTGTTCTCACAAGGCCAGACATCAACTATATATAGCAAAGGGTTTTTAAATCCTAACCAACTAGAAATAAGGAAAATCAATACGTAAGAAAGAAGGAAACAAAGAGAAAAGGAAAACTTAAATAAAAGCACAAAACCCAAACGTAAAAGGAATATAAGCTGCATCAATTTGGCATCCTTTCTAGATACTATGGTACGAGAACAGAATTTGGGATATATGCCATTAACAATTATAAGTATATGTTTGTTAAAAGATTCACCTATTATTAAAAGTTAATATTTATCCTCAATATATATATATATATATATATATATATATTCATAAATATGTGTGTTTTTTTCTTATAAATTTTCATCGTTGTTTACGGAAATTGTATAAGTTTAAAATATGAGCGAGTATAATGCTTTAACATATCAGATAGATGAAAAAAAAAGTACCGTATTGAACAAATCAAGATCCATTTAACTCGGAATTTTTTAAAAAATAGTTAAAAGCTTAAATTATATATGTTTCATTGTTAGATGCATCTAACTTTTATTTCTATATACAGCGAACTCTTCTAGTTAACTTCTAAACTACCATCAATTCATTTCTACATCTAAGATGAAGAAACCCTTTCAGCTCTTGTTTACTATTCTAACTATCTTCATCATTATTGTGCAAGGTTTGCATATACATTTAGTCATCTTAATCTTACATGTTGTTTTACGAGAAACAGATTTTAATCTCATACTATTTCTTAAAAATACCAGCTCTTTGAAGTTATATAGAATTATATCAAAATTATTTTAACCAGAAGCTCCATATAATGAGTAACTCTTTTCATGTCAAATTCATACCATATCTAGAATTTGAGTTGCTAGACCTAGGAAACCAACCGGCAAAAGGTATTTTTAGAATTTCTCTAACTATGTTGGTTAATTCCTTCATCTAAAAAATATATGGATTTGATATATTGTGAACAAATTATTGTGATAATAAGCTAGTTAAACATATTTCCTTTGTTTTTTTTCTTCTTTTTTAATCGTAAATGAACTCTTTCTCGCTTCATGCTGCATAGATAAAATGTGCCATTCTTTTGGTTTCATAATGCTCTTTGGATATTTTATGTATTTGTAAGATATTTGTCAAGCTACGTACTCAAACATATTTTCCTGCAACGAATATACTCTCTTTTTTGTTTCATTATTGAAACTGAAATTTTCTGTTTTAAATATAATGATAACTGATACGATCCTAGGTGATCAACTCTGAAGAAAAGGCAACAGTTGCGGCGATTTTGTGGACAGACTATAGCGATGAGGTGATGGGGTGGTGATGATCGGTTCGATGGTGACGATGGCTTGAGGATCGAGTCGAAGATGGTGATGGTGGTTCGGCGGATCGAGTGAGATGAGAGGGTGGATGTGGTGTGATGATCGATTGATGGTGTGGTGATGATAAGATGATATCGATGGAATGGAGAGATAGAAGAATCTCTTGTAAACAAATTAGTTTTTAAGAGATTCGAATTTCAGAGTTTTTTTAGTTCTCAGAAATCAAAGAGAGAAGAACACGTTAAAAGTTTGATCAAAATTCTTCACTGAATAACACTTAGGCGATTTTCTCTTTTTTATAGACTAAGAGAGAAAATCGCAGCCCTAATAACAAACTACATGGCGTTTGAAATAAAAACAACACGAAGTTTAATTTAAAAATAAAACAGTGAGGCGTCCCTTCTAAACCTAAGTGGTGCGTCTAAAACACTAGTGCACAAATCATTGTGACTTTGCACATTATTACCCATTAGTAACAACTTCTAAGTAACTCGACGTAGCAATGATTTCTACCTCGTTAAAAACCTTGGAGAAGAACCTCCTTGCCTTCCAAAATCCTCACCAAGGAAAAGAGTACAGAATCATCACCTAAGTTACCTAGTCATTGTTACTGGGTTCTTCATTCTTCAAGATAGAGATGTTGAAGATGTGAGCTCCAGCCTCCAGTTGATCGATGTCCTCTGCGGCCATGAGTGCGTGTGCCTCATTAGCCATCTCTCTAGCTCTGGAACGAGTGATCCTGCCAGCTACCTCTGGTTCCTCCTCCTATGAGCTGGTCACGATCATATCATCCTCTCCCTCTTGAAAAGGATTTGTCCTCAAATCTGAATCTGCAACATAAAGAAGCAAGTCAGAAACATTGAAAGCATCAGAAACATCATACTTACCTTGAAGATCAATCTGATAGGCGTTGTTGTTGATTCTTTTGATGACTGTGAATGGTCCATCAACTCTGGGCATTAGTTTGTTCTTTCGCTCAGCTGGAAATCGCTCCTTCCTCATATGGATCCACACCAGATCTCCTTCTTCGAAAATTAGCTCCTTTCGTCCTTTGTTGGCATGCTTCTCATACTGCTTTGTCTTCTTCTCGATGTTCTCCTTAGCCTTAGCATGTATTCTTCAGACCTGTTCAGCTTTCTCCTTGCCATTCAAACTGCATTTTCCACTTAAAGGCAAAGGGATCAAGTCTAGAGGTGATTGTGGATTAAACCCATATACAATTTCAAAAGGAGAAAAGAGAGTAGCGGAATGCTTAGCGTGATTGTAAGCAAACTCGACATGAGGCAGGCACTCTTCCCATGTCTTGAGGTTACTTTTCACCAAAGTCCTTAGAAGTGTGGCCAACGTTCTATTCACCACCTCGGTCTGTCCATCGGTCTGAGGATGAAACGTAGTCGAGAATGAGAGCTTTGTTCCCAGCTTAGCCCAAAGCGTTCGCCAAAAATGTCCTAAGAACTTCGTGTCTCAATCTGAAACGATGACCTGTGGCATTCCGTGCATTCTTACTACTTCCCTGAAAAACAAGTTAGCTACATTCACAGCATCATCTGTCTTGTGGCTAGCGATGAAGTGGGCCATCTTGCTAAACCTGTCAACAACTACAAAAATAGAATCTCTACCATTTCTGGTTCGAGGTAAGCCAACTACAAAATCCATAGCGATATTAGTCCAAGGTTGAGAAGGAATAGGCAAAGGAGTATACAAACCGTGAGGTTGAACTTTACTCTTAGCCATCTTACATACGACACATCTGGAACAGATTTTCTCAACGTCTTTCTTCATGTTCGGCCATTAGAAGTGCTCTTGTAGTCCAAGAAGTGTCTTTTTAACACCAAAATGTCCAGCTAATCCACCTCCATGAGCTTCTCGTACCAGTAACTCTCGAATGGATCCTCGTGGTATGCACAATCGGTTACTGAAGAACAAGTATCCATCTTGTCTATAAAATTTCTCACAGGCAAACTTATGACATTTGGCATAGCTCTCAGAAAAGTCAGTGTCAGATTCATAAAGATCTATAATATGCTCAAATCCAATTAACTCTGATGTAAAAGTCGAAATAAGAGTGTACCTCCGGGATAATGCGTCTGCGACCACATTATCTTTACCTTTTTTGTACTTAACAATGTAGGGGAATGTCTCAATGAACTCCATCCATCGCCCATGTCTTTTGTTAAGCTTCTGCTGACCCTTGAGGTGCTTTAGAGACTCGTGATCAGTATGAATGACGAATTCCTTAGGCCATAGGTAATGCTTCCACGTCTGGAGAGCTCGAACCAATGCGTATAACTCCTTGTCATACGTGGGATAATTCAGCGTTGATCCTCCTAACTTTTCGCTGAAGTAAGCGACGGGCTTCTTATCCTGCATAAGAACTGCTCCAATACCTACACCAGAAGCATCGCATTCAATCTCAAAAGTCTTAGTAAAATCAGGAAGTACTAATAAGGGCGAATTGATAAGTTTCTCTTTAAGGGTTGTAAAAGCCTGTCCTTGCGCCTCTCCCCACTTGAACCCCACGTCTTTCTTGATTACTTCGGTTAAGGGCGCGGCTATGGTACTGAAATCACGAACAAAGCGCCTGTAGAATCCTGCTAAGCCATGGAAACTTCGGACTTCTCCAATATTCTTGGGGGTTGGCCATTCCTTGATAGCTTTTATCTTCTCTCCATCTACTTTAACTCCTCCTGCACTTACTACAAAGCCTAAGAAAACAATTTCGTTAGTGCAGAATGAACATTTAGATAAATTAGCAAAGAGAGATTGAGAGCGAAGAACATCAAGAACCGATCTGATGTGATCTAGATGTTCTTCCAAACCTTTACTGTAGATGAGGATATCGTCGAAATAAACCACTACGAACACGCCAATGAATGGTCTCAGGGCATGGTTCATTAATCTCATGAAGGTGCTGGGCGCATTGGTGAGGCCAAACGGCATAACTAGCCACTCGTAGAGTCCTTGCTTTTTCTTGAATGCCGTCTTCCATTCGTCCCCTTCCTTCATTCTGATCTGATGATACCCACTCTTCAAATCTATCTTCGAGAAGATTGTCGATCCACAGAGCTCATCCAGCATATCATCTAGTCTTGGAATCGGATGCCTATACTTCACAGTGATGTTGTTGATAGCTCGGCAGTCTACACACATCCTCCAGGAACCATCTTTCTTTGGCACCAACATAACTGGAACCGCACATGGACTCAAGCTTTCTCGAATATGTCCCTTGCTCATCAGCTCTTCCACTTGCTTTTGCAGCTCCTTAGTCTCTACAGGATTGGTTCGGTATTCTGGCCTGTTAGGTAAGGCTGATCCTTGTACCAAGTCAATCTGATGCTCTATCCCGCAAATTGGAGGTAGCCCTGGTGGAATTTCTACTGGGAAAACGTCCTTGTATTCCTGCAAAATCTCAAACATCGCACTAGGAAGCTCCTGTGAAGGGTTAGTACTAACAAGGGATTCCTTGTATACAAACATAAAAGTAGTCATTTCAGGATCAAAGAGTTTAGAAAATTCACTGTGGTTTATGTAGAGGCTGTTGGCGACTTTCTCCTTCTCCTTGAGCTTCATCTGGATCTGATCTTGGTAAATCTCGGTAGGTGTGAGAGGTATGAGGGTAATTTTGCGACCTTTGAACTCGAATAAGTGCTTGTTGGTATAACCGTCGTGTATCACCCTACGATCTGATTGCCACGGTCTGCCTAGCATCACATGACTCGAACCCATGGGAATAACATCACATAGAATCTTATCTTCATACTTCCCAATAGATAGAGAAACCATCACTTGCTGAGATATGGTCAAGGCTCCACTGTCATTCAACCACTGAAGTTTATATGGTCTTGGATGAGGAATAGTCTTGATCTGGAGTTTCTTAACCATCTCTTCGCTTGCAGCATTAGTACAACTTCCTCCATCTATGATCAGGCTACAAACTCTTTCTTTAATGAAGCATCTCGTATGAAACAGGTTCTCTCGCTGACAAGTCTCTTCAGGTTGACTCTGAACACTCAAAGTTCTTCTGGCAACCAGCATCTCGCCCACGGCAGCAGCTTCTTCCTCTTTCTCTAATTCATATTCGGCCTCTGAATCCGCTTGAGGAACTATCTCTCCTCCCTCTTGTAACAAGAAAACCTTCTTGTTTGGACAATCTCGAGAGTAATGTCCCATTCCTTGACATTTGAAACACCTCACATTGCTGATGGAAGTACCACTTCTAGGCTTGAACTCAGCTTTAGCTTCTTCTTTAACTCCAGTAGAGGGTGGTTTGATGTCCCTGGAGTAAGCTGGTTTGCTGATCTCCTTAGGCTTAGGCACACTAGGCGTGAATGTGGACTTGAAATTTCGCCTCTTGACTTGAGATTCCACCAATTCAGCCTTATGCACCATCTCTTGTATATCTGCGAAATCCTGAAGTTCCACCTTGTCTTGAATTTCTCGGTTAAGTCCTCCAAGAAATCTCGACATTACCATCTCTTCTCCTTCTCGTAAATCTGCACGAATGAGCAAAGTTTCCAATTCCTGATAATAATCTCGAACAGACTTCGTACCTTGGACGAGGCACCTAAGCTTGTTGAGTATTTCACGCTGATGATGGGCCGGAACGAACCTCTTCCTCATCTGTATAACAAGCTGATCCCAAGTAGTAATCGGAAGTTCCCTCAGGCGATTTCTGGTGACTCCCAACTGCTCCCACCATAGAAGCGCATACCCATGAAATCCTGATACTGCAATCTTCACCTTGTTGAGCTCGTAAGTTCCTTGAACAAGAAAATTAGACTCCATCTTCCTTTTCCAATCTAGATAAGCTTCGGGATCATTAGTTCCATGGAAAGGAGGATACTGGATTTTGATGTGACGCAGCTGCTGACGTAGAGGATCATAATCTCGACCATGTCCTCGGCCTCGATCTCGTCTCACAGTTTCTCTGCTATGATCAGAAGCTTCGTCCTCCTCATAGTATTCTGGGTCTGATTCCAGGGTAACTCGATGCCCAGCAACATACTCCTCTCTGCGGTGCTGACGTTCTACCCTTGGGCCATCTCGATCTGCACCAGTAGGGTTCCTCCTCGGATTAAAAGTAGTCTCTCTGCCCCAAATTTAACTTCGGCTAGACTTAGCTTTAGTCCTGGCTTCGGAAGGTGTTGGGTGGCGTGGGAGTTTCCGGGAAGATCCTATGTGCCCTTTACCCTTAGCTAAGCGCATTGCTTCCGACGGAGTTGGAGTTTGAGACGACTCTTCTCCACTTGCACTGAGATCTTTGAGCAGATCATTCATCTTTGTCTCGAACTTGTCATTGAGTTGTTCAATTTGTTGTGTGAGCTGAGTTGCTATGGCTTGATTCGCTTCTTTAATTTGTTGAGACATTCCTCGGTTCAGAGCTTCCATCGCCTCAGCCGAAAGCTCCATGGTACCTGAAAAAAAAAATTAAAAGAACTCGCAGTAACTTGTTCTAGACGGAATCACCAAACAGCAGCATGATCGAACTAAAACTCAACATAAAAAAAAAAAAAAATTTCTGTACTCTTTTTTTATTTTATTTTATTTTTATTTTAAATCAAACTTAACGAAAATTCACGAAAGTTTTCCTAACAAGCCTAAACGAAATCGTACCAACGAAGACTCTAACAGACCTAAGCGAAGACGAAAAACACGAGACTATGAACAGACCTAATCGAAGACGAAGACACGAAACTCTTGACAATCCTAAACGAACATGAAAACAATGGATAAACAGACTCGAATTCAGACTCGCGATTTATCAAACCTAACGAAATCGGGATCGACCTAAACCCTAGTCGCGAAACAATAAAACTCGAACTAACAACAATTCAAGACGATGAAAGCGGAAATTGACACTAGCTAGTCTAGGTTTTAAAAACGAAAATTCAAGCACAGAGATTAGGGTTAGAGTTTCGCTCAGCCTTTGGTTCAGAGTTGGCTCTGATACCACGTGATACGATCCTAGGTGATCAACTCTGAAGAAAAGGCAACAGTTGCGGCGATTTTGTGGACAGACTATAGCGATGAGGTGATGGGGTGGTGATGATCAGTTCGATGGTGGCGATGGCTTGAGGATCGAGTCGAAGATGGTGATGGTGGTTCGGCGGATCGAGTGAGATGAGAGGGTGGATGTGGTGTGATGATCGATTGATGGTGTGGTGATGATAATATGATATCGATGGAATGGAGAGATAGAAGAATCTCTTGTAAACAAATTAGTTTTTAAGAGATTCAAATTTCAGAGTTTTTTTAGTTCTCAGAAATCAAAGAGAGAAGAACACGTTAAAAGTTTGATCAAAATTCTTCACTGAATAACACTTAGGCGATTTTCTCTTTTTTATAGACTAAGAGAGAAAATCGCAGCCCTAATAACAAACTACATGGCGTTTGAAATAAAAACAACACGAAGTTTAATTTAAAAATAAAACAGCGAGGCATCCCTTCTAAACCTAAGTGGTGCGCCTAAAACACTAGTGCACAAGTCATTGTGACTTTGCACATTATTACCCATTAGTAACAACTTCTAAGTAACTTGACGTAGCAATGATTTCTGCCTCGTTAAAAACCTTGGAGAAGAACCTCCTTGCCTCCAAAAATCCTCACCAAAGAAAAGAGTACAGAATCATCACCTAAGTTACCTAGTCATTGTTACTGGATTCTTCATTCTTCAAGATAGAGATGTTGAAGATGTGAACTCCAACCTCCAGTTGATCGATGTCCTCTGCGGCCATGAGTACGTGTGCCTCCTTAACCATCTTTCTAGCTCTGGAACGAGTGATCCTGCCAGCTACCTCTGGTTCCTCCTCCTCTGAGCTGGTCACGATCATATCAATAACAGGGGTAGTGGGGAATGTGCAGCAACGACAACACAACCGATGTATCCCACTTAAGGCATAAACTGGATTTTGTGTTCTCCAAGAATGTGAGTCTCTGTGTAAGAAGATGGGTAACAAATTAGAGGGTATTTGCTGGGGGCATAATGCCCAAGGAAAAAACCCAAAGACGTGCCATTGCTGTGGTTTGTGGCCTCCTGGTTACTAATGTCGCTATCAAAATAATTTACAATAAAGTCATGTCATATTAATAAGAAATTTATAATAAAGTAATAAAATATTTGTTTGCAGTTTGTGATCGAATAGTTAATTTGTACTAGTATACATACACACACAAAAGGAAAAATTAACCAAGCATTTGAAGATTGTTATGATCCGATAACCAAATTATTGAGAGGGAGACGAATATGAATTTAGATCTTCGATTTCAGATATTTAGGGAGCTACAATTTATTCTTGAGGAAAAAATCCACAAAAAAAACAGATATAATCTATTGGTACTTTTAAAACATTACACCAAACTAATGCTTTTATGTTTGTATTCATTTTAGTTCTCGAGTTACTGTGCCTCTATTACATGCTACAATTAACCGACGTTTTAATAATGTGGAAACTTGACGAATGGTCTGAATTGTTAAAAATTAGCGGAATGATGTATTCAAAATATGAATATTTAAACAATATGTAAATAATATTTTTAAAAATAATCAATTGTGCACAGGGTTGAGCGCCACTTGTATGAAAGGAACAAGGAAAGATCATAAAATACTAGCCATGCATGTGATTATTATTTTTTTGCATTTTTCCTATTTGCACGTGTATACATTGATCAAAGTACAAAGCAAACCCTCATGTTATAGCAGAGCAGAACGACTCAACAAGCAGGATTTTTTTACCAAGCACGACTTCATTATAAAATTACTGTACAACATTTTAGTTCATGATCGTACAAAAATTGTATCATCTTGTCCTAGCCGTTATATCCTAAATTTCGCTTCGAAATTGGTTGTAGAGAGTTAATAAGTTAGCACCATTGAGAAAAATAGTCACGACTGCTTGGGACACTGTGGTGGTGTGCTTCGAGTATCTTTTGACGGTCTAGTCAAATAGTTATTATTTAATTAAAGAGAATAAAAGTTGAAGGTACATTTTTGGTGGTTAAATCTTACATTTATTAGTTTTTGCTTACAACTGAAATTTTGGTATATTTATTGAGCTGATCTGCTCGGACTAGTGAAATAGAACATGTTAACCTTTTCTTGTAATTTAACCAGTGTTTTAAAAGTCGGTCTAGACGGCCGCTTAGACGGTGCTTAGACGCTAGACACTCATAGACCGTCTGTTTAGGCATTAGACATTCATAGACCGTGACGGTTACTTCGTAAGCGTTTTATATATGGTATTTATAAACATTTTTTATTTTTTATATGTAATTTGAATTTTGAATATATATTTAAGATTTATAATATGTAAATTTCTTTTTTATAAACAACTTTTTTTGTTATCTGGAGGTAAATCTCAGGCCCTTTGGGCCCAGACTAATTCCCTTTAGGTCTAACATCATTTTCATGTAAGTCTAGCAGCAGTCCACATGGTTGGGTGGCCAAGAGTTAATAATGTGATAATTCCGCATCTAAAGAGACTCGATCCCTAAACTCTAGACCCACAGAGTCGAATGTTCCATTAGAAGGGAACCACCCCACTACTACCTCTTGGTTTAATTTTATACTAAGTAGTAATCTGCGCGCTGCACGGGGTGAGATTTATCTATTTTTTTATAGATTTGTTTTAGAAAAATATTATATTTAAAAAATTAATTAGATATAAGTATAAATTATATAACTAGCTAATGTGCCCGCACCTTGTGCGGACTACAAATATTTAGTAAATCAAATGTTAAAATTCAAAAAATAATATTTTTATTATAAGTTTATTATCTTTTATTATTTTTTATATATTTATATGAAATTAGAAATATGAATGAATCTTTAAAAAGTAAAATTAAAATCGATAATTACTCACAAATGATATATGTAATTCATTGATAAAGTCTAATTCGAGTGAACCATTTAATAATGCAGTTTTTTACCATATCTATTACATGCATCTCTTTGACACTTTCAAATACAAACGAATTGATATAATCTTTATAAAAATTCCTCCATCATAACCCTCAAACTCCACACGCATATTTTGCAGATCGATTGTAATTCTTTGTTGTTTTAGAGATTATGTTGGTAAGTATTTTTTAAAACCATGTAGAGAAAAAGAGAGCTAGAAACCATGACACTGTTTTAATGTTGGTGTTTCAATATTTTCATTCGCTCCGTTGAGTTGGAGATTGATAGAATCAAAGATTCATAGCATTGAAAATTTCCTCGAAACAAATATCAGAAGTGTAAACCTATTATTTTGTTTTAAATATATTATCAATATATAATTTTTTATTGAATTTTTGTATGAAACTCAATCCATAATTTTATCTACAGTTTCTCCTGATATAATAGTAACAAAAAGAATTTCTTTGTTCTCTGTAATTTGTCGAGTTTTTTGTTATCATATGGATCATGCAATAAATAGGAATTATTAGAATTAGTGAATTTTCATAGTTAGAAAGTATGAGCTCCATAGCATATACATAATATACCGAAATTTGAAGTTTTTTTGTAAAATTTAGATTTTTATATATATATATATATATATATTGTCGCCACAATAGACTAACAAATCAACATTTATTTTTATTATAAATCTGTGCAAAAATAATATTCAAGATTAATCTTGTGTATTTTGAAATATTTATTAACATATAATATATACTTTTTACATGGTTGACAGCCTTATCAAAGCCATCGAATACGAACATGTAATATTTTATCGAAATTTAAAAAAATCACAAATGAAAGTATTATATTTAATACAATCTCCATAAAACAATTCAAAGAGAAATCCACAATAAAGATGTGATTGGTTCCTTATGTGTGCTTTAATGAAGGTTAGAAACAAAGAATCAAGTTTGCAATGAGCAGCATCATCATCAATACTGAACTGCTTTGGACCAAGTAATTTTCTTCTCAGTTTGATTTCATCATCATGCAGAATTCACAAAAAAACCAGCAAATATATTAAGAAACAAAATATGTATTTTGAGCCAAAATGTAAAACCATTAAATCGTTATCCCTCGAGAGGCTTCTTCATCTTCTGACGTCCTCATGTCCTAAATTTATTCTCTGTTAGTGTTATCTCTTCAAAGAGTATTGCATACTCTTTGATCGCACTATCTTCCGCATAAGTGTCGTCTCTTACTTTTCCTCTCTTGAAGTACATATTCTAGATTTATAAAAAGTCACTAAACTAAACCACTTTTAAACAGAAAAGCTTATCTTTAGAGACATGTATATAGAGAGACGACACATACGCTGTAACACAAAGTATACATGATCAACAGACATTGATTAATACTCTGTTTTTTCAAAAACTGCAGGAACATGAAGAAAGCAGAGGAACACTCCTTAGTTAAAGGAGAAAGAAACCAAGATGTTTGAAGTGGAGGTGGTGTTCGTAGCGGAGGATTCAATGAGAACGTTAGATGGCAAAGACGATGACGTTAACGATTAGCTTCCATTATTGTAATAATGGTTGGCTCGATGAACATATTGTGTTTTGGCCTTATAGAAGGGTAAGGCCACTTGTAAATTTGTAATGAACATTCCACGAGCAGAGTGGAGCTTCTCTTTGTAGCTTTCATTTCTTTTTTTTCTTTGAAAAATCTAACTTTAAAGAACTGATACGGCTTCTGAGTTTGCAAAGCAAACTGTCCTTGAGATCAAGGCCATCACATCTTTGTTTCCCATAGTGTGATGTCTTATCGCCCCCACTAAGTTCTTTTGTCAGATGAAATTGAACCATCTTTTACACACAAAATGGTCAGTCAATCAGTAACTTTTAGGCCATAAGATGATCCAAACATATAGATTAATGGTTTATAGAAGTTAGTAGATAGTACTAAAGGAAAAATCACGACTATGGAAACATTAAATTATTTGTATCTCTATAGTTAGAGGTGGATTCTCGGCTAGATGCCTAAGTGGCTCAAGTATAGCGAAGCTTAACGCACAAGTAAAAAAAGGAAAAAAAAAACTACAGCAAATATAATAAAGGATATATCATAAAGCACAAACAAAACTATTGTAAAATAATTTCAAATAATCATCACACAAGAAGCACCTTCTTTTCTGTTTCAGTTTGGAAATCGGTTTCAATATCTGTACAACGATAAAAACATAAATTTGTAACCCAAGAGGCACAATCAAAACTAAAATGATAACATAAACTATTTTCATAAACAACATGAACCAAATCCATTTAATACTATAAGGAACAAACAAACCAAAAATATGGTGTTAAACCATCACCGATTTACCATCCAGAACAAAAGATTAGGTGAGAATACTTGATCTTGGCGAGTGAATTTGAGACCAGAAGGTGTATAGATTCATAGAGACCGGTGTGTATAGGGTCATATGAAGTGCTAGTTCATATGATATTCACCTCCGAGTTCCGTGGAGTAATTTGGTGTTATATTTGGTGTTCAATTTGTTCCATATGATAGAGCTTAAGAATTCTATTTCTTTATTTTATAAATAGCGAATGTTATTAGGGTTTGTCAGATTTTACTAAATATTGGTTTTATTAAATTTTAAAAATGGTTTGATTGATAATGTAATAAAGCATTAAACCAAATATTTTAAACCCGACCCGGATAATGACTCGTAAAGTTCTTTGGGTTGTCGAATCACTGGGTCAACCTGGATCAATCCGAGTCAACCGCGGATCAACTAACTATATATGTTTATTATTATTTTTTTATAAAGTTCATTATTTTAGTTACATTTTTTCTGCTATGTGTAAAAAAAAAAGAGTTATTCTAAAAATTTATGTCACCGAATCGAATTATTTATCACAAATTTTTTAATATATGTTTTTATTTTTTCAATAATTTTTTTAAAGAAAATAAATACTATACTTAGTGATCATATTAATAATATTTTTCCACATCTATAATTATATTTTCCATTCTATATTATAAAATTTACTAATGTGTAATGTTAAAACAGTTTCAACCCATTCAATAAAATAAAGGAAAACAAACTATTATTATTACAAATCGTTTGGGTCGGGTTTTGGCTAGTTCATCGGGTTTGAGCAAATTTTTCTAGATTTGAGTGGTTTAGTAGCATTCCGGGTTTTCAACAAAATACAAACCGGAAATCTTGCCGGGTTGTGGTTCAATTGATCGGATCGCTCGATTAATTCCGGGTCTGAAAATATTATATTAAACCATAATAATTTAGACGGGTTTGTTTTAAAATTTTTTTACACATCATCAAATAAGAACCAATCAAACAATGACACGTAATTGCAAACTAGGGTTAAACGGTCTTTTTATATCTGAAACTCATTCTGGAGCTGACACGTAAGCGAAAGAATGTGAACCTTACTGTGAGCACGACACGTATACAAATCACTACACAAATAAGTATATAGATAGTTATGAAAAATAGGTAAAGAAATAAGCAACTAAACCATAACTTTTAAGTAATAACACGAATTAATAAATATCAGCATATGAGGATGGCCTCATCGTATATTTATTAAAACAAAGCAAAGAAAAATTAACTTGGCTGAATATAACTGAAGATATTCATCTTTAAAATAATTTGTAGGATTTTGGTAGCCTCTTTTGAATGGAATCCTACAAATGATAAAAGATTTCATTATATATATGCTGAAAAGACTGTCTAAAAAATAGTACACATATACTTTCTTAATAATTATGCTTACAAAGCTTTTGTTTCTGGAATATCAGAGTCAAAGAGAAATCGAGACCATCCTTGTAACATAGATATTTGATTAAAGCCATATAGTTCAAAAAAAAGTCAAATGTTCGTGTTTATTAATTTTAAAAAGCTGAGGACACTTTAATGGTGTGCTGAATTGGTGAGTGCAAGGGTGTTACATAAACGTGCCTTGTACAGTAAAACTTCTATAAATTAATAATGTCGGGACTGCAAAATATTTTATTAATTTATCGTGATATTAATTTAGAGACAATTTGCTAGAAAATCTAAAATCTGGTCAAAATTAGGTAAATGGGAGAAACAGTAAATTGGTGTGACATTGGTCTGACATTTTGAAGGTATTATGACTCTTTACTCCCTCCTTTTGTTACGAGTCTTTCTTTTCCGTATGGAGTTTCTCTCTCATCATCTTTCTTTCGTTAACATATAAGTTATACAATTACATAACTTGTTATCATACTACATACTTTGTTAGCATGATAATTAAATGTTATGATATCTTGCTAACACTAAGCTTACATCAATAAAGATGATGTTATCTTGCTAACACTAAATTTGTATTCGCTAATAATCATTTCGAATACTCTATTTTTATTCGCTAATAATTTATTTATCACCTCTAACATAATATTTGTATTCACTAATATGTTATGTTTTTCAATACATTGATACCTAGCTAGAGGTACAATGTTAGCTAGAGGTACGATGTTAGCTAGAGCTACGATGTTGGTAAAAAATATGTTAGATTGATAACAATAATGAATTATCTAGATTGTTATAGATGTTATTTTTGTAGTTAGTGCGCTACAAATACATATAACACTCTAGATGTAATGTTAGCATTCTAACAATAAAATTATAAGAGGAAACAAACAAACCTTCGATTCTTCATCAATCTCACGCGCATGGCAGAGGCTTAGCTTCATCTTCAAGGATCCGGTGGATACCAATGGCTGCGATGATCGGATTTCACTTCTCATGGAGCAAACCGATATCGTTTTCCTCATTGTTCTCCTCGCCGGAACCCAATTCACTGCACTCAAAGCTGTCTCTCCTCTCTCTCAAACCCGCTCCACAGCCGTGGAAATCGACGGTTATCCGTATGGGCGACGGTCCGAGGACGTTTCCCGGCGGTGTATCAAAGTGGCAGTGGAAAAGGATGCAGGCGAAGAAGCAGAAACAGCTCCTCAAGGCGCGTCTATCCCATGAACGCCAGATTTACGAGATGCAGAAACGAGCCGAGCTCAAGGCAGCGGTGGCCGAGCTTGAGCGACCATGGGAGCCAGTTCAGAAGCCGCCAAATCTATTCTCAGTATGTGCCGACGAGCAAGTCAAGGTCCTCGCGGACCGGTTTCAGAAACCCGGCGGATTCGATCTATGGACCGATCGGGATGATCCACAGCTGTTTGAGGCCGTCGATGATTTGCCTTCTGCTAGGTTTTTCCCTAAAGGTGTGGTTCACAGTGTGAAACCTTATCAAAAGTTACCAAGATCTGTTGGTTCAGATGGAGAAAAGAATCCGCCGAAACGCGAAGAAATTGGGGTGAAATTCGATGAAATTAGCAGTGATGGGAGGGTGACTAAAGATAATAGGATGTAGGGGTAACGTTGTCATATTGAAAATTGTACAGTATCGGAACAATGTTTTTTCCTATTTTGGAAATTATGAACAGCACCTGGGTCATTTAGTGCATTTACTTATTAATTTATTAAGAAAATTTGCTTTTCGCATATAATTTTTAAAATTTTTTTTTTTGAATAATGTTATATTTTAAAATTTTAACAAATCTCATAATATAAATTATTATTAACAATCATAACTATCGCAATAAAATATTTTTTAACACCATATTAGATTGTCCATGTAAAAATATATATGTTCATAAGTTTAAAATTTATTAAAAAACCATGGCTACTATCAGTATTATTGATGATAAAATTGAAGATAACACTACAATACACTTAAAAACATTTAAAGGTAAGAAAATCAATTATCACATCAAAAAATCATCATAAATTTTGAATGTATATCGTAAAACAGCAATAAGAGTTACTGATATAATAATTAAAGAGATGAGAACCAATGAGATTTCAACTTTAAATAAAAACAAAACACATTAGTCATATTTTAAAATATCATATTTATATATATTTGCATAAATTTATATAATTATTAATTTATGTTTTTGTTGGGACCGTATATTTACATAAGAGTTTCAAAAAAAATATTATTTTATTATCTTATCGAATTTGATAGATTTTTACATTGGCCCGATTTGAGACCAGCAAAATTTTTAATTTATAGTGATTATTAATTTATCGAGTATTAATTTATAGAGGTTCTACTGTATATAGCTTAATATTCATTTTGAAATCAGTAACAGAAAACGATGATTTGCATAATTTGATGCTGTCTAAAATATTGTTTCCTTATATATAGGTCAATATTCATTTTGTTTGCTTTAAAAAATTATCAATCATACAAATCACGAATTTAATTTGTTTCCATAGTTTTGTCTAGAAATTTTGAAATCAAGCATAGAAAATGATGGTTGGCATAATTTGAGGCTAAAATAATTGCACATTAAATATTCAATAAAAAAGAAAATTATAAGGCACCAAAAATTAGACATATCGGATATAAATCATTAGTTTCCATAGTTTTGTTATAAATTTTTGAAATCAAACAGAGAAAGTGATATATGGCATAATCTTTGATTGTCTAATATTATCTTCTTTACTATTATTTGCGAAGTCAGAAATCCTATGTGTTATCTCCACAGCGATTCGTTTACGTGTCATTATTAAAAAAAATTATGTGGCGTTTTAATTAGTTATGATAGGACAATCATTAATTCTACGTGTCAATATATATAATATAGATTTTTTTTTCATCGATTATAGACCATCGAGTTTATTCATGGCCCACCAATTTTGTTCTCGGTCATAGTCACTGAATCTGTTAAATGGACCACCAACATAGAAAACCTAAACCTTAAAGCATTTATCATACTCTATATATAGTTATATACCTGTATCGTCTAAATATTTTTTTAACATACAACAACCGTCAGCGTCTTCTTAGGTCGTGTTCCTCTTCTTTATTGTTCGTAAACGTCTTTTTATATATTCGTGTTCGTAAGAAGATATTTAGGAAATGTACTATCATATCTCGTATGTAATAAAGTTTAGGAGTAATCAGTTATTGTTCGTAAATATAGATTGACCTGAGCTTTTTTATTGTTTTCCTTAAACCGAGAGTTTAGCTGATTGGCTCGAACTTTTAGAATCATATCTTCCAATGGATCTAACAAGTAATTGTAAATAATAATTGTTGTTAATTAGTTTTTTACAAATTTAAAGTGTACAAAAATTAGTTAACTTGTTATACTATCCTACTCGCAAATTCTCTAATTTATTATTTTGATCACTCTAATTCATTGTATTGATCTTTTTGGTATGAAATCATGTTTTACCTTACCATCTCCATTCGTCACAAATTA